CTGCTGACAAGCTCAAATCGCGCACTGTCATTGGCCACCTTGTTAGCTACTAAGGCACTAATATCTTCTGTATATGGCTGCCTACAAAGGACACTGTTATCGTCACACGCAACGTTGTATTTAAACCTACGCTCTTCTTTAATAGAATAGATAGCTACGCCTCTACACTAGTAATTAAGGAGGTAATTAAGCTACTTAAATATCTAGAAATGTCACAGGACAACAATATTAGCATTAAGGACCTGTTAACTACTTGTCAGCGCAATTATTAAACAGCACCTGTGACCTTAGCTATGAGAGCTGAAGACTCCTAGGTGGGGGGTAAGAAGAATAACAACGTACCTGAATCTAACAACGCACCTGAATCTGACGTTGCACCCAATTCTAATACTAGTGCTAGCAGAACTAAGGGTAGCTATGCAACAATATTGCAACGTTGTTTTAAGTTTATTAAATATAGGCACTTAGTGTTTTAGCTGTTAGCAATATTAGCGCGGAATTAGGGCTGTTGGGCGCAAATTGGGACTGTTGGGGCCGTTGAACGGCCGTTGCACGACCATGCCACGACTGTCAGCAACAGCCAGTCTGGGCCGGATTTCGAAAAACTTTTCCCGATGTAGGCACGCACCTTACTAGAACCTCTTCACAACGCGATTGCAAGCCTAACATAATAAGGATAACTTGTACTAAGGAGGAGGTGATTGTCTAGCATGTATTAAAGCTAGATAAGCGAGGATACCTACCCTAGCTTGTTGATGTAGGGGATATGGCCAAATCTCTACTTGCTGAGCGCCACTATGTAACGGGCTAGGCCCGATGGTAGCGCCTCGGCGCTCGCCGGTCTCGGCCAACCTCCGAGAGGAGGTGCCTGCCCAGCTGTACCCCCAGTCAGGAGGTCCCAATCTTGACTAATTGTGTAACCTCCACACAGAGGACATAAAAGTCTGCAGACCTCTGCCTACAGCTACTCCTTAATAAATCTATTTAATTTATACTTATAAATAGCCTATAGAGGCTAGCTCCTTATATTTAGATTTATTTATCCTCTTTATTTATTTATTTATTTATTTATTAAGTATCTGTAAGGAACCACTTATAATAAGCAAAAATGCTAATGCTGTTGTAGGGCACCTTATTAAATATAGAATTAAACTCTACTTAAGTACTAACTCCTAATTAGATGTTTGCACAGAATTACAACACTACGCAAGCACTCTAGTACCTGTAGAATAGCTAGAGACTATTTACAAACGCGCTCTAACTCTGTTAGCCACTTACTTAGCCTAGGCCGCCCTGCCTAAAGATATAGTTAGGTTGCTAGAGGTTAAACAGCTAACAACTAGACCTCTAAACCCTCTACAAATACCTTAGCAATCCTAAATAATAGTTAATATAATAAATAAATATATATAACAGGCTATCTAAGTAGGCATATAGGTGTACAAGGACAAGGAAAAGTAGAGATTAGCAACAGCTAATATCTCTCCTGCCCTAATAATAGCTACTACTATAACCTAGTTAGGCTTTACAAAGCTTAAGCTTCCTAATATAGAGAATTTAATAGTAACTGCTAGCTCTATTAGATATTTAAGTCCTAGATAATAGATAAGCTTACTTCTATAGGAGAATATTAATTAATCCTAGGTATAGTATATATATTTAACTAATTAGAAGGGCAAGCTACCTAGATTAGTCTATCCTAGAAATCCTACTACCTATTAGGATTAACTATAGAATTCTAGAGCTTTCTTAATAAATAATACTAAGATACCTAGTTTAAAGAAAGATCTTATTAGAAGCTATAGATAATTAAAATAAAGAAAAATAGATAAAGCCTTAAAGCCTTTAATATAGATTTTGTCTAGCTAGCCTTTAATACTAGAGAAGAAAAAAATAAATAGAACCTTAAGATAAGGTATATATCTACTATCTATAGTAACCTTTAGGATAAGATAGTATCTATAGAAGTCCTTAAAGAATAGGAACTTTAGACCCTTATAGTATAAGTCTTAAAAGTAGAGACTAACCTAAGATAAGTTAAGACTTATACCTATAATATATTATTTAGATAATAACCTAGAAGGAAGGACAACAATAAGATAGACTAGGAACCTACAAAAGTTTATGCTGTGCGTGTAGACAACAACAATAACAACAACAACAACAACAAACGTGAACAAGCTGAATAGAAACCACAAGAGGTCCTTAATAGGCGAAGGGCTAACAACTAGTGCCTCTAGTGTGGCAGAGACGGCCACTACGTTAACTGATGCAAGCTAGCCCTAGCTAGACTACTAGGTACTGTACAGGTCAGCGCAGCTGCCACAACAAACAGTGTGGAGGAATACTCAGACTTGAATAATTCTAATTTAGAAAACTAGAACCTCCTGTCCTAAGTTATAAACAGGGGTTAATTAGTAAGATTAACTAGGATAGCAAGTTATTCTAGTAGTTCTATTAGTAATAGCTAGATAGTAAACCTATCTTGTTATATGTTTTAATAGATAATAAGACTATAGCACATATACTATTTAATACTAGGTGCTTAACTTATAGAATTATCTCTTTAAGCTTTGTAATATAAAATAACCTTAGGCGCATCTCTATACTAAGAAAACAAGTTATTAGTATAGCTAGCAAGATAACCTAGCTAAAGAAAGTAGTTAGGATAATAATTAATATTAATAGCTATATTAAATAGATGTTTGTATATATCCTTAAAGGAGAAAATAAATACAACCTAATCTTAGGCTGCCTATAGATAGATAAGCACAAAGTAACCCTAGCGCTAGCTAAGAAGTTACTGTTTATCTACTTGTCTATAATAAGGGTGCAGAGTAAAGAAGGCATTAGACTAGAGCTAGTACTACAGTAGGTTAGCCTAGAGCTATACAGGGCACTACAAAAGTAGTTAAAGAAAGATTCTTTAATAGAAATCTTCTCTACTTCTATAGCAGACATACAGAAAGCCTTAAAAAAAAAGGCCTCTAGGGACCCTTATGCCCTCCTCCCTAACTACCTAAAGGAGGAGTTCTAGATATTTATAAAGGAAGAAGTAGACAAACTAGCTCTATATAGAGGAGCAGATATTAACTATACTATTAAGCTTATTAAGCAGGACAGCAAACTAGCAATAATCCCTTAGGGACCCCTATACAACATGTCTAGAGAAGAACTCTTAGTCCTCTGCTAACAACTAACTAGCTACCTAGACAGAGGCTTTATTTGTGTAAGCAAATCTAGCGCCTTAGCGCTTGTTCTATTTGCCTAGAAACCTAGCAGAGGTCTCTAATTTTGTGTTAACTACTAGGCACTTAACATAATTATAAAAAAAGACTAGTACCCCCTACTACTAATCTATAAAACCCTATTATAAATCTTAAAGGCTAAATAGTTTTGTCAGATGCTCGTACTGTTAGCCAGAGTATGTGCTTAACGAGATCTAGGTGGTATGATGATTTATTGATGATCGTGGCGATCGTGTCTCTGCCGTGGCGTCGTGCTGGTTGCTACAGGATTGAAGTGGGGGGGGAATTAGCGCTGTTCGCGGCCGCCGGTGAGGGTCTAGAACATTTCTAGTTAACGTAAACCATCACCGAGCCGGCCATATCACCGAGCCGGCCACTTTTCCTTGGCACAACCAACTTTCTCCTCATCAAACAATGCCTCAACAACACAACGCAATTGCTATTCAAGAAGAAGGTAGAGTTAATCTTGCCCTTCAAGCCTATACGTTTGGCCAATTTAAGACCCTCTGGCGCGCTGCAGCAGCTTTTAACGTCAAACACCAGAGGCTCTCTAACTGACTCCACAGAATCACTCCACGCGCTCAAACCCAACCAAATTGCCAGAAGCTTACTACCACCGAAGAGCAGACGATTATCCAATATATACTTGACCTTGATTCGCGAGGATTTGCGCCCCGGCTGTGCGAGGTGGCAGATATAGCTGATAAACTGCTGGCTGTACGCGGTGGCAAGCCTGTTGGCAAGTGCTGGCCTGAGCGCTTTGTAACGCGTTCAGATGAGCTTAAAATGGCCTTCAATCGAGCCAAGGATAGGCAGAGGATACTCCAGGAAGACCCAGAGATAATTGGCGCGTGGTTCACGCTGGTAGAGGAGACCAAAGCCAAGTATGGTGTCCATGACGATGACATCCACAACTTTGATGAGACAGGCTTCCAGATGGGCGTAATTGGGTCTATGAAGGTTGTTACAGGCGCAGAGAGACGTGCAAGGCCTGATCTGATCCAACCAGGCGACCGCGAGTGGGTTACAGTGATCCAGAGCGTGTGCGCTGCTGGGTACGTGACCCCGCCCTTTATTATCTACAAGGGACGCGTCCACATCTCTGCGTGGTACGAGGAGACCTCAATACCGCGCAATTGGAAGCTCTTAGTCTCTGAGAACGGCTGGACCAACAACGCGCTTGGTCTAGAGTGGTTGAAGCACTTTGACGCGCATACAAAGGCGCGTCAGGTGGGGGGGTACCAGCTGCTCATTTTGGACGGCCATGAGAGCCACCTCAACCAGGATTTCAAGGACTACTGCCTTGAGCACAAGATCCTGACCCTCTGCATGCCTCCCCATTCGTCGCACATCCTCCAGCCGCTTGATGTAGTCTGCTTTTCGCCGCTAAAGCGCAAGTACTCGCAGCGCGTCAGAGACTTGGCACGCCGCCGCGTCTTCCACATCAACAAGGAAGGCTTCCTGCCCGCCTTTAGGGACGCGTTTTTAGACGTGTTTACGAAGGAGAACTGTCAAAAGGCCTTTGAGGCATCTGGGCTAGTCCCTATCAACGCGCAGGTTGTGTTAGATTGCCTTGAAGTGCGGCTGCGGACCCCACCAGAACCCCTCCTCCCAGAGACGCCGTGGCAGTCAAAGACTCCAAGCAATACCCATGAGTTTCAATCTCAATCAAAGCTAATACGCGACTCCTTCACTCGGTCACTAGTAACAGCCCAGGCTGGCTTCTCCCAGCTTATAAAAGGTGGTGAGCTAATGCTGCATGAAAATGCGCTTCAACGTGCTCAGATCCATGAGCTTGAAGAGCAGTTAGCAGAGATAACTAAGCGGAAATCACGCAAAAGGAAGCGGATCCAGCAGGGTGGTACTATGGAGTATGGGACTGCAGCAGCGCAGGTAGCTGTAGAGGCGTCTGTAGCTGCTGAGCGGTCAAAGAAGAGTTGTGGTGGTGGTGATCAAGAAAGAGCCCAACCAGCTCTACGGCGCTGTGGGAACTGTAGCAAGACTGGGCACAACGCGCGAACGTGTAAAAAGGATACAGAGGCATCTTCTGAATTAGATGTAAGTACAATGTACGCGTGCTCCTTGTTTAATAGTGATAAAATTGAAGATGCGTAAGATAAGTTGGTTGTGCCAAGGAAAAGTGGCTGGCTCGGTGATATGGCCGGCTCGGTGATGGTTTACGTTACTAAAAATAGAGAACAGCATATCTTAAGAACAAGAGGAGATACAGGCTTCGTACGCCCACCATTCTAATCCTCTCTTCTTGGAGATTACAGTAGCAATGCTTAGGTAAGCATAGCGCTATACATAAGAGGGAAATGCGCTAGTGAAAGATTATAAGAACAAAGTCTTATAACTTTACAACAAATACTAACATATTATTAAGGCTAACTAAGCTATTAATAACAGGCTAGAAGGCATTTAAGGAAGCCCTTAAGTGCTATAAAGTACTCCTTAAATAATATAAGAATAATTAATATAAATATAACAAGGAGGAAGTAAGCCTTTAGTATATTATTATGTTTATCTAGTTAACTATATTACTATATCAACTACACACATGCTGTCTTCCTAAGAAACTACTACAATAGTAGATTATAGACCTATAACTTACTATTAGGGTTAATAAATAAATTAAACAAGAATAAGACTAAGATAGATAACCTGTTTTATCAGTGAGCGCCCCACCTCAGTGAGCGCCCCACAAACACCAGCGAGGCGTACGCGCAGCGACGTAGCTTAGCACCACAACACAAATTTTGTACTCTTGCAATAGTATAGTATTATTTAGAAGTGTTGCTGTTATTTATATCCTTAATTTCTACCTTGTAGGTGCAAGAGTTATGCCTAATCTCACTACAACAGCTGCAGCGTTGCCCTGCGCGCACCCTCTTTGCTAGCTCCTTACCCTCCTCACATCTGCCACCCTCCCTTTTAGTAATTAAGTCTAATACCTTGCTAACTATTAATGTCTCCTCTGCCTGTACGTAGCGTCTCTTGCAACTTTTACACTTTGTTGCTACTTTAGTAGTAGTATTAAGGCGCACTATCTCTGCGCGTATTAACACTATCTGTAACGGGCTAGGCCCGATGGTAGCGCCTCGGCGCTCGCCGGCCTCGGCCAACCTCCGAGAGGAGGTGCCTGCCCAGCTGTACCCCCAGTCAGGAGGTCCCAATCTTGACTAATTGTGTAACCTCCACAGAGAGGACATAAAAGTCTGCAGACCTCTGCCTGCAGCTACTCCTTAACAAATATATTTAATTTATACTTGTAAATAACGTACTCCACAAGCGAGCTGGCCACCCAAGCGAGCTGGCCACTTTTGCCAAGACCACACCGAACTTCACTCTCCCTGTAATGCCTCAACGCAACAACGTAAAAAAGCCTTCAAATGAAACACATATACAGCTTGCCCTCTAGGCTATCCAGCAAGACGCGACACTAAGCGTGCGACGTGCTGCAGCAATATACCAGGTCTCTTGAAGCACCCTAGGCACGCGCCTTACTAGAACCTCTTCACAACGCGATTGCAAGCCCAACATGATAAGGATGACTAGTACTAAGGAGGAGGTGATTGTCCAGCATGTATTGAAGCTAGACGAGCGAGGATACCCACCCCGGCTTGCTGATGTAGAGGATATGGCCAATTCTCTGCTTGCTAAGCGCCACCAGCCCTACATTGGCAAGAACTAGGCTGCCAACTTTGTAAAACGTCGGCTAGAGCTCAAAGTCAAATTTAATTGCAAGTATGACTATAAGAGAGCTCTGTGTAAGGATCCTAAGGTAATTAGGGACTAGTTCTAACTAGTAGAGAATACTAAAGCTAAGTATAGTATACAAGATAAAGACACCTATAACTTTAACAAGTCTAGCTTTATAATAGGCGTTATATTAACAGGAGCTGTTGTTACAGGCTCTAAGCGTTAAGGGAGACTAAAGGCAGTGCAGCAGGGCGACTAAGAGTGGACTAGTATCATCCAAGGCATCTGCGCGAAGGGCTGGTCTATCCCACCCTTTATTATCTTCTCTAGCAAGCACCACCTCTCTGCTTGGTATAAGGAGCCTAGTATACCTAACAACTAGGTTCTTAATGTCTCTAACAACAGCTAGACTAACAAAAAGCTTAGAGTTAAGTGGTTAAAGCACTTTGATGAGCACACAAAGGCGCGCACTGTTAGCAGCCATCGGCTGCTTATTCTGGACGGCCACGAGAGCCACAACTCAGTCAAATTCCACCAGTACTGCAAGGAACACAAGATTATTACCCTGTGTATGCCTCCACACTCGTCGCACCTACTGCAGCCACTTGACGTAGGCTGTTTTGCCCTGTTGAAGAAGGCCTATGGCCGCCAAGCCAAGCGGCTGATGCGCAGCAAGATTACTCGCATCACCAAACTTAAGTTCTTGCCATGCTTCAAAGCGGCTTTTGACGCCTCAATCACAGAGAGCAATATCTAGGGGGGATTTAGAGGTGCTGGCCTAGTCCTACTTAACCTAGAGGCTGTGCTATTAAAGCTTAAAGTACAGCTACGCACGCTAATGCCACCTACTGTAGACAACAGTACGTGGGAGTCTAAAACACTAAGCAACACCCTAGAATTTAGGTCTTAATTAAAGCTAATTTAAGAGAGGATTTAGGGACACGCTAATAGCTTGCCAATATCTATAGTTAATACTCTTAATTAGCTCACTAAAGGCGCAGAGCTGATAGTGCATTCACTAGTTTTAGTGCGCAACCAGGTTGCTGACCTACAGGCAGCCAACGAGGCTGCCACACGTTGTAAAT